CTGGTCTGGCCGAGAAGCCCATGAGAGTATTTCAGGCATGTAAAGTCAAGACATTGTGGCAAAAAATGTTTTACATTAAGGTTTTCTGTTAGTGAGACCCTGGTGGAAAGAAATGGCCATCAAAGAAAGATTGCTTTTCTCTAAAGAGAGGAGAGAACTTCCACTTTGCTTATGACCCTGTCTAAATACTGATGGAGTTTGTAGATTCAGAAGGCTTCCATAGCCTAAGCAGCTCATGTGAAGAGCCTTTGGTGATCACTGACATCATACATAATAGTGTTACTTGTTAAATTAACGACAGGAGTCATTGTGCACTAACTCCCTATGTAGAACCTCTGTCCTCAATGAGTTGCATTATGAGAGTTAACTGTAAAACTTGTTCTCAGTTTTTGTTGTATGTGTGTGTGTGCATGTGTGTGCAAATTGTTGAAATCTTTACTTAGAATAGAGTTGATCTTCTGTGTACAAAGTTAATTGAAAATGGATCTTAATGGAGAATGAGGCTGGGAAGGGGAGAGGGAGGAGGAAGTGGTTTGGGAGTATGGGTTGGAGGGAAGTCTGGTGGGGAGAATCACTATTTTTTTTCTTTTTTTAAACTTTTATTTAATGAATATAAATTTCTAAAGTACAGCTTATGGATTACAATGGCTAACCCCCCCAATAACTTCCCTCCCACCCACAACCCTCCCCTTTCCCGCTCTCTCCCCTTCCATTCACATCAAGATTCATTTTCAATTCTCTTTTTACACAGAATATCAGTTTAGTATATATTCAGTAAAGATTTCAACAGTTTGCACCCACATAGAAACACAAAGTGAAAAATACTGTTTGAGTACCAGTTATAGCATTAAATCACAATGTACAGCACATTAAGGACACAGATCCTACATGAGGAGTAAGTGCACAGTGACTCCTGTTGTTGACTTAACAAATTGACACTCTTGTTTATGGCATCAGTAATCACCCTAGGCTCTTGTGATGAGTTGCCAAGGCTATGGAAGCCTTTTGAGTTCACCGACTCTGATCATATTTAGACAAGGCCATGGTCAAAGTGGAAGTTCTCTCCTCCCTTCAGAGAAAGGTACCTCCTTCTTTGATGGCCCCGTACTTTCCACTGGGATCTCACTCATGGAGATCTTTCATTTAGGTCATTTTTTTTTTTCCCCAGAGTGTCTTGGCTTTCCATGCCTGAAATACTCTCATGGGCTTTTCAGCCAGATCCGCATGCCTTTAGGGCTGAGAGAATCACTATATTTCTAAAGTTGTACTTATGAAATTTGTATTCCTTAAAAAATTAACAAATAAATAAATTATCAAAGAGTATAAAACTCTAAGAAGAAAATGTAGGTGAAAATCTTTGTGACCTTCATTTCAGAAAAATTTTCTTAGATATGACACCTGAAGCACAAGCAACAAAAAGGAATATAGATAAGTTGGACATCAAAAAGAAACACTTTTACCTCAGAGGATACCATTAGGAAAGTAAAAATAAACTCGGAAAGCGGAAGAAAATTTTTACAAATCATATATTTGATAAAGCTCTTTTCTAGAATATATAAATACTCTTATAACTCAAAAACAGAAAGACAAATACTAAGTTTTTAAGTGGGGAAAGGATCTGGATAAATTTTTTTTCAATGAAGGTATACTTGTATTAACAGCTAATAAGCACCTTAAAAGATGCTAAGCAATCTTAGCATCAGGAAATACAAATCAAAACCACACTGAGCTACTACTTAACATCCATTAAGAAAACTGTCCTAAAAAAGCTGGTTGATTGAGAGTATTGCTGGTGGGAATGTAAATTGTTACAGCTACTTTAGAAGACAGTCTGGCAGTTCTTCAAAAAAATGAAGCATAGAGTTAGCATATGGACATAGCAATTCTGTTAGTTTATATCTAAGAGAAATGTGGATGCTTGTGTATACAAAAACTTGTATGTAAATGTTCATAATAGCACTGTAATGTCCAGGATGTGAAAACAACTGAAATTCCATCAACTGATAAGTGGATAAGCAAAATGTGGTACATCTATACATTTTTTATTCAGCAATGAAAAGAAATGAAGTATTGATACTTGTTACAGCATGGACGAACCTTGAAAACAATATTTGAAGTGAAATAAACCAGACACAAAATGCCGCTTGTTGTATGGTTTCATTTATATGATAGGTACAGAGTAGGCAGAGACAGAAAGATTGATTAATGGTTGCCTGGAGTTGGGGTCTTGGAGAATACTGATAGATGCAGAGTTTCCTTTTTGGGGTGATAAATTGTTCTGAATTTGGTTTTGGCAATGGCTGCATAGCTCTCTGAATATATTAAGCACCACTTAACTATATACATGGGTTTAAAATTTTAATGAATATGAGGGGTGGGTGTTTTGTGCAGTAGTTAAGATGCTACTTGGGACACCCACATCCTGCATTAAGTAACTAGGATTGAGTCCCTGACTATTCATCCAAGTTTAGCTTCTTGCTAAGATACACCCTTGTAGGCAGAAGGTGATGGCCCAAGTACTCAGGTCCCTGTCATCAACATGGGAGACTCAGATGAATTCCAGGCTCCTGGCTTTGGCCTGGCGCAGCTTCATCTGTGGCAGGCATGTGGGAAGTGAACCAGTAGATGAAGATCTTTTTCTTTCTGTCTGTCTCTCTGCTTTTCAAATAAAAATTAAAATAAATAATTAAAAAATCTAGTAAATACAATCATCATTTTAACATTTTGTTAGGCATTTAGTTGATACATTGAGGAAGTATTTATTTAATACTTCTTTTTATATTCCTAGAGCCATTTGTCTTAGATTATAAAGAACATTCAAGGCACAGTACCCTTATAGAGCTAAGCACATGATTTACGTGCTCAGTCACACATGCTGATTAATTTACTGATTTTTTAATCTTTGAATGAAATTAAGTCATCAAGATTTCATTATACTTTTGATGATTTGTTACATCCAATTAGAGATGAACTAAGTGAAAGATTGATAACTTTTTAAAATTTAACAAATATTACACAAAACTTCCAATGATTTCTTATTAGGTAAACATCACACTTTTTTTGGGCTGGAATTCTTGCTGCAATTAAAAAATTCATCTACTGGGTTAGATGTTTAACAGAGCAGTTAAAGAAGCCATTTGAAATACCTACATTTATTGGAGTGACTGAATTTGAGTCCTGCTTCTGGTTCCAATTCCAGTTTCTTCCTAATGCACACCCTTTGAGGCAGCGTGGGATGGCTCAAGGATTTGAGTCCCTGTCATCCATGTGGGAGACCTGAATTGAGTTCCTGACTCTTGATTTCTTTTCTTTTTTCTTTTTTCTTTTTTAAAGTCCATAGAGCATGGAGTTGAATCATAGGTTTATTTCAGTGAAGCAGTTTAGAAATCCATGCATAGTTTTTTCCTAATACACATTTTCTATGATTTTTTTTTTTTTTTTAGATTTATTTTATTTGAAAGATAGAGTTACAGAGAGAGGTAGAGACAGAGAGAGGTCTTCCATCCTCTGGTTCACTCCCCAGATGGCCACAACAGCTGGAGCTGCGCCTATCTGAAGCCAGGAGCCAGGAGCTTCTTCTAGGTCTCCCACATGGGTGTAGGGGCCCAAGCACTTGAGCCATCTTCTACTGCTGTCCCAGGCCATAGCAGAGAGCTGGATCGGAAAAGGAGCAGCCAGGACTAGAACTGGCGTCCATATGGGATGCTGGCGCTTTAGGCCAGGGCTTTAACCTGCTGCGCCACAGCGCCGGCCCCCTGACTCTTGGTTTCACCATGACCCGGCCATGCCTGTTGTGGGCATTTTAGGGAGTGAGCCTGTAGATGAAATATCTCTGTCTCTGTTTCTCTCTCTGTCTCTCAGTCTCTTTCTGTGTATCCATCTCTCTGCTTTTCAGATAAATAAACTAAAATGTAAAACTGCAACTACCCTTTTTCATTCACTGCTTCACATAGTTATTTCTGTATATCTATTTTTGATAATATCTGAAGGATATCTGAAGACTGTGAATTCAGTACATTGTGTGGGATCCTAAAACAGATCTGCTTGCATGAGGATCCTCTAGCCAGAGAGTGAGTATTCTCAGAGAGAATAACACACAGTAGATTTAGACTAGTAGTTCTCAACTGAAGGCAGTTTTGCCTCAGGTACATTTGTCAACATTTGGAGACATTTTGGGTTATCACAATGTGGGAAAGAGAACTGTATTGCATCTGGTGGGTATAGGTCAGGGATGTTGCTGAACCTCCCACAGTACAAGTAGTGGCTCCCTTCATTCCAGAAAGAGAATTACCCAGACCTCAATGTCAGTAGTGCTTACATTGTCTTTGATTCAGGCTGAACTGGAGCTCTTGTAAGGGCAATTTAACATAGTAAATAAGAACACTCTCGATCCATACAGTCTGAGTTTGCTTCCTAGCTCTGCTGCTTTCTAGCTCACACCTTTGCTAACCGATCTCTGTGCTTCTGTAAAATAGTACTGAAAACAGTAACCATGTCTACTTCATTGGATTATTATGAGGATGATTGAGTTAATACATGTCAGTCTATAGAATAGTGTCTAGAATGTAGTAAACCCCAATAAATATTCGCATTATTAAGATCTAAACTCTTGGCTTCAAAGTTATACATTCCTCATACTTTCCTGATAGTGGTTTTGCCTCGGAAATCCCCAGATTAATATATGTTCTGGTCTGTAAGAGCTAAGCAGTGTATTTACTTTTCTTTGAACTCTAATATCTATTCCTCCATTTGGTGGCTTTTAATCCATCAACACTTTGTCAGTGACTTTTTTTTGCACACTTCTGTAATGTTTGTTCCCACAATCATTATCTGCTGACTAGGTGAGGCCTGACTTTCTATCCTTTATATTCTATTGCATTAAAGTAATGCATTAGAATGTATACATATAGGTGTACACACACACACACACACACACACACAATTTTATTAAACCTGTTTGTTGTGAAACAAACAAAAACCTCTGACTTTTTTTTTTCTAGGCAATTCGAAGTTTTCAAGTAGCCCTTCATATCTATCCCATGAACCCTGAAATTTGGAAGGAAGACCTTTCTTGGGCAAGAACACTTCAGGAGCAACAGAAAGTAGCACAGAGTATCAAGAAAAGTGAAGCACCAGCTGAAGTGACACATTTTTCACCAAAGTCCATTCCTGACTATGACTTTGAAAGTGATGAGATTGTTGCTGTTTGTGCAGCTATTGCTGAGAAACAGAAGACAGTTTCAGCAAATAAAACCATGGTTATTGTGTCGGCTTCTGGGACCGTAGAGACTGTCACCAAGAAGGCAGATGGTGCTCCACCACCAGATGGATCTGTGTTTATCAAAGCCCGATGAAGCTGTATGTGTAGAGGAATTATTTGAATCTGTCTTTTTGATTGCCACATGAAGTTTAGACATAGGAACATTTGCTCTGGTGAAAGAGGACAGAACTCCTGCTTGTAAAATAAATTCTTCAGATGAGGCATGTAACAACTCAGTGGTAGAATTTTTCTATTGTGTTTGGAGTATGCTTTCATAAGTTATGATTTATACTTTCAAGATTAGAATTCTAAGTAATTTTTTTGATTAATAAACTTAATGGAAATGTATAAATGAACACATTTTAAAGACACAGCTTGAAAAGTGTGTTCATGATTAGTTAACTTGATGGTGAATGTTATTAAAATGCTGACTCATTGACTTGTTTTAGGATAAAGTGATTTCTTTCTGTCTTAGAAATAAACCATTGCTCTTCGATTTTTCTTGTTTCACTACTGTAAGTTTATCAGAAAGCTTGAGTATTTTTTGATAATAATTTTGATTCAAAGTTATCATTTTGTTCTATGTGGAATCTTTGAAAGTGTGGCTGAAAATGCATGCAGTTGTGTACATTCTCAACCTTTTCTGGTTTCTTTGAGTTCTGATTTGTGCTTCCATTTTCACTTTAAAGTTGTAACAATGGTAGTTTTCTCTTTCAGTATTTGATAAATGTATGAAGTATTGATAAATGTCAGAGTGATTTTTTTAATAAAAGTCTTGCAGTAGATGGGGTAATCCTTACCACAAGTGAGTCATTTTTAAAACAATGACATTATGTGCATGTGATTGAAATTATACTGCTTAATGATATCAATCAAAAAGCAATATTTTTTCAAAAACTCAAATAACTTTGAAAACACTTTTAGTCTCTAAAGCTCAACAAACCTTGAAAACCCTTATTTCTTGTTTCTGACTTTCCAACTGATGATTTAGAATTACTTTTCTAGTAACTTTTTTGGAACTAGTCAGTGAAATGAAAAGTAACTCGAAGTCTAAACAACTAACATATCTTTCTAGAAATAAAAATGTAGGAATGTTGCTATTAGAATACCAATTAGTGAAAAATTTTAGCAAAAAAATGCATAGAAACTGGATTGTGTTTTTTAGTTCTGTCCCATGAGTAGAAGGATACATTAAGTAGAGTTAATGTTAAGTGAAGGCCCAAACACTTTCATAAATCAAGAGTACCACTGCTAATATGAATCGCTTGTATGTCATATGTATTGTAGTAAAACTGTGTAGAACTATTGAATACTGTTACTTCTGACCCTCAGGAAGATATTAGTGTAAATTTAATTTTACTTTTTTTAGAAGTAAGATAAACTACTTTGTGTTGAGAAATCTTACCTAACACTGTTGAGCATATAAGTAATGGTCTTCTTTTCTATGAGGATGATTTTTGAAGATTTTTGTTTTTGTGAAATGCTTTTCTTCCCCGTCCTTCCATCCGTCCCTTCCTTTCTTCTTGCCTGTACTTCCTTCCTTTCTTTCTTTTTCCCGGAGTTGGAGAAATTGCACTTGCCTTAAAAATTATTTTAAGTTTTCCCCTAAGTCATATCATCAAAAGTTAAGTCTGGCTGGAGAGGTCAGTTTTAGAGTAATACAAAAATTTACTTTATTTAATAAGGAATATTCTCATGGGCATTGATAGATATCCATAGAAAGTACTCAATATTTGGTATGTTGTTTTGAGTAATGGATATTTGTTTATTTGTGGATATTTTTTCCCCTGTATTTTGTAAAGTTTTTTTTTTTAAGTTTTTTTATTTATTTGAAAGCAGAATTGCAGAGAGACAGAGGCAGAGAGAGAGAGAGAGGTCTTCCATCTGCTGGCTCACTTCCCAAATGGCTGCAAAGGCTGGAGGTGGGCTGATCTGAAGCCAGGAGCCAGGAGCTTCTTCCAGGTCTCCCACGCAGGTGCAGGGGCCCAAGCACTTGGGATCCTCTGATGCTTTCCCAGGCCACAGCAGAGAACTGGATCAGAAAAGGAGCAGCAGGACTTGAAACAGTGCCAATATGGGATGCCGGCATTGCAGGTGGTGGCTTTACCTGCTGTGCCACAGCACCGGCCCCTCCCCTGCATTTTGAAGATTTTTTTGTGTTGTAAGCTTTTGAGAATTACTTTAATTTACATAATTTCTTATGTGAGAGCAATATATATATATAAATAATCAAGAATAATAAATATGAGAGTAATATATGTAAAGCCCCTTGCAAGTGAAGTGCTTAGTACATACTTGCTATTTCTAGAAAAAGCTTGTATTAATTTGGAGATATTTTACCTCAGTTTCTTCTGATTTTTTTTAAAGATTTATTTATTTATTTGAAATTCAGAGTTGCAGAGAGAGAGAGAGAGAAAGAAGTCCTCAATCCAATGGTTGACTCCCTAAGTGGCCACAATGGCGGGAGCTGCGCCGACCCGAAGCCAGGAGCTTCCTCTGGGTCTCCCATTTGGGTGCAGGGGTCCAAAAATTTGGGCCATCTTCTATTGCTTTTCCCAGGCCATAGCAGAGAGCTGGATTGGAAGTGGAGCAGCTGGGTCCCAAACTGGTGCCCACATGGGATGCCAGCGCTTCAGACCAGGGTGTTAACCTGCTGTGGCCACAGCGCCGGCCCCTTTTCTGATACTAAGAAAGGAGAACTTCTTAATCCTACCTATCTAAAAGTGAGATGTTACTATTCCTGATACTAATAGAGCAGATGGTTATCAGTTGGAGATTTTTGTTGACATCAGGTTTATGCCTCAGGCTCAAAGGAGACAAGATCTAGGATGAAGTGCATATAGCCACTCTGTTAAAGAAGTTAGTGTTTCCTCATATTGATATTGCTAGGCCAGTTTAGTCTCATCCTTATATAAATATAAGACATAAAATAGTTTAGATGTAAGATGCAGGAGAAAAAGGAATAGTGAGTTACAGAGAAGAAAGCCAGCTCATTTCTCCAGGCTTCTTCAAAAGATGCTTGGTTTAGCTACCACTCTTCTATGTATTAAGAGAAGATCCACCTATTACTTTGCAAAGATGTGAATACTGATATATGAATCTGTAAAAAAGGTTGTTAATTGTCATAACACATCTTTTTGATTCTGAAGAAAAATAATTGATGTTAAGGATAGTGGTATAATGTTAAAATTCTAAAATGATACTGTTTAATGCTCAGACTATATTGGATATAATTTGGATATAATTTGTATTGTTTGAAAATTGTTGGAATAGACATTCATTAGTCAGAGTACTACATATGCCTGATCACTTGAGGATCACTTTCTAGAAAACAGACTGTTGGGTTATAAGAGTATTTATCAGAAATATGCTCGCAGATAGGACATAAAACGTCAAAAAGTTGTGCAAGATATATATATATATATATATCATAGAACTCAAATCTGCTGCAACTGAGACTTACATGAAAAATTTGATGTTAGTGGTTTAGGTATGAAAACCTTTTGAACTGATGTTATACATGAAAACTTAAAGGACTTTTTTATTTTCAAAGCTTTGTCTTAGAGTTTTCATGGTTTTAACTGAGTAGCATAATCTTTTCAATTTAAAAACTATGATTTTACATAATTCAAAAATTTGTTTCACTGCTTTTCTCAACAACTTATGAGTCATCTCTTTAAATTTCTTCACATTAGAAGCTCTTCTAAATTGATTGAGTTATGCTTTAATGACATACAGGTATCTAAATGAGTTGTGAGTTGACACAAGAACCATGGTTCCATAGTAATTATCTTCAGTGTGTATATTAAATGTGTTTTTTTCTGAGAGGTTATTATTAAGCTACTGTATTTTATAATTGATGGTATTTAGGATAGAGAAAGGAAGGTAGTTGTTTTTTGTAATTAATAATAAAATATGGAAATTTTAAAATAATTTACTTCCTTACTACAGTAAATTAAAACAAAATAAAGGAGCCAATTCCTAAAGTCATGTACCTTGGTCACTTGCAATTAAATATGGCTACATTGATGGAAGATAAAAGATGGCATGCCTGAATCTTTCTTTAATGTGTGTTAATGTAAACTTTCCTTGTTCTGTGTGACATGGTGAATGAAAGCTTGAGAAACATTAATCACTTTGGTGGGAGGGGAAAGGCTGGGGATGGCTTCCTAGTGAAATCGGAAAAGACTCCCTAAAATCTGCACTAAAAATGTGTCCCTTTAAGTTTCCCTAGAAATGCTACCTGGGGTGCCACATGTGCTACCGGAATTTGGGGTGCCATACGATTTCACCACAGGCTTATTATTAAATCCCCAATATTAATAAGCCCAAGAGCGTTCTTGCCTAATATTTAGAGAATTCTAAATATCTGCACAGATAAACGAGGCAGCATGGTACGTTTTAAGCTTTTATTTAGTGAGAAAGATATATAGGAGAGTGAGAGCTTTATTTAAGAGAGAGTGGTGAATAGGGGTTCATACCAAGCACCAGGAACCAGCCACGTGGATGAACATTTAGGCCAGGAAGCCTGGAGCACATGGCCTGGAGGCACAGGGCTACAGCCACCAGCCCCCTCCTGGCAAGAGTCCAGGGAAGAAGAGAGGGCCTGACACATTGTGCCCCAGGCTTTTAACCCACTTCCAAAGGGGAGTGGTTAATTAACCTGATTGGCTGGTTGGCACCTAGGTCTGGCCCGGTAGGGGGATGAGGTCACACAGGGGCGTGGCAAAGGCGTGGTCTTTCAGCTCACAAACCTAATCAATTTTAGCCTGTATGCCTGCCTACTTCACTAGGACTTGCAAGGGATTCTGGTCTCTCACTCCTACCTTTCCAAGAAAGAAGGTGGTTTATTAGGTTATACAACTGGGTGTGCCATATCTCATTTTCCTCCTTTCTTTGGATTTGTTACCTCTGTGGAGAGCCTGTGTGTGGTCTCTTGCCAGCTACTTGTGAATCTTGCTGTACAGGCTCTCTGCTGACGCTTGTGCAGCTCTGCCCATACCATGGTGAGCAGCTCCAATAGTGGGTTAAATATTAGATGACCATTGTTTGCACTAAATTATATCTTCTAACCTAGCCTATTTTTAGCAATATGGTTGATATAATCTGCCTGACTCTGAGTCTAACATGGTTTAAGAGTTTGGGGTGCAGGAGACAGGTTATAATTTTATGACTCCCTCCAACCTCACAAAAGTGTGAGTATATTTCAATGTAAATATGAAATACATTAAACACCAAATGGAATTAATTTCTAATTTTAGATTTTTTGTTATGGCAATTCTATTGAAAATGAATGATGTTAGTGAAGAGGCAATAGTGAAAATTTGTTCAGGATATTTAAAAGAGGTCTACTGATGGAGTTGTGATGCACCATAATATTGCCTCTAGATTTAATTGGAAAAATATAAAACAAATTATGATATCCCTTGTCCCCCATCAACTTTCTAAAATGGGCATAATTTAAATGTAGTCATGAACTGCTAACGTTTCAGACAGATTGCATATACAATGGTGGTTCCGTAAAGCTGTATGGATCAGTGGGATCATAGTCATCTTAGTTGTGTAGATAGTCTATGATCTTACAATAACTAAGTTGCCTAATGATGCTTTTCTCAGAATGTATGTGATGCATGACTGTTAACAATGCAGTAATTTTAAGTTTATAGTTTGGAGACATTTGACAAATGTGAACATCCACTTAACTAGCACTATCATCATGATACACTATACAGCTGTCACCGGGAAAGATGTCCAAAGATCTTTTTCAGTCAGTTCCCCTCCACCCGAATAGCCAACCCTATTCATTTACTTAACTGCTTTCTGTGAGCATAAATTAGTTATAATTTTCCTAGAATTTCAAATAAAAAGATCATATAATGTGTATTCTCATTCTGTCAGAATTTTTTTGCTTAACATGATGCTTTGAAAATTATCCACCTTATTGCTTTTATCAGTAATATGTTCTTTTTATTGCTGAATAATATTCTATTGTATGGATGTACCACAGTGTGTTTAGCTATTCATCTGTTGGTGGACATCTAGTTTGTTTTGATCTATTGAGTGCTGATCTATTATGAATAAAGCTGCTATGTACAGACATCACAAATCTCTTTGTGGACCTGTGTGTTCATATCTCTTGGTAAATACCTAAGGATGAATTAATTGAGTCATGATAAATACATGGTGTAACTTTAGAAGAAACCGCCAGACTTTCCCAAAGCATCTGTACCATTTTGTATTTATGTGTTAATATGTGTCAGCATCAATGTGTTAAAGAAGTTTCAGTTTTTCCACATCTTTGTCAGTGCCTGGTATCATTGGTCTTTTTAAATTTAACCTCTGTAGGAACTCCGTGTGGTTTCGGTATGCATTTCCCTAATTATGTTGAGCATCATTTCATTTAACATTTGTATATTTTCTTTTGGGAAGTACATGTTCAGATATTTTGCCCATTTTTATTTGGGTTATCTATTGAGTTGTAAGAATTTTTTCTTCTCACTGGGTAAATGTCCTTTATGAGATATATGTGCCTTGAGTATTTTTTCCCCATTTATATCTTATGCCCATGTTTTTTTTTTTGTTATACTCTTTATTTTTTAATCATCTTTAAAGTTAATTAAAATGCATATTCTCAAACTGTCTTGATAAATATTCTTATCAGTTAAATGAGTGAGGGTTGCAGAACTTCTATCTTTTAAAAAGTAATAGTTTTTAACTTTGGAGTCCAGTTTATAAATCTTTTTACTTTTGGGTGCTTGTTGTGTGCTGGAAAATATGTACTTATCCTTGAATTACAAAGATTTTCTTTGCTTTTTTTTTTTTTTTTTTAGAAGTTTTGTAGTTTTAGCATTTATGATTGGTCTGGAATCCATGTCAAGTTAATTTTGGTGTATGGTATGAGGTAAAATTTGAGGTTCATTTTTAAAATTTTTAAGCATTTTTAAATGTTGTTATTCCAACAGTATTTGTTGAGAAACCTGTCCTTTTCTATTAAAATATCTTAGCATCAGCTGGCGCCATGGCTCAAAAGGCTAATCCTCTGCCTGCGGCGCCGGCACACCGGGTTCTAGTTCTGGTGGGGACGCCGGATTCTGGCCCGGTTGCCCCTCTTCCAGGCTAGCTCTCTGCTGTGGCCCGGGAGTACAGTGGAGGATGGCCCAAGTGCTTGGGCCCTGCACCCACATGGGAGACCAGGAGAAGCACCTGGCTCCTGGCTTCGGATCAGCGCGGTGCGCCGGCTGCAGTGTGCTGGCCGCAGCGGCCATTGAGGGGTGAACCAACGGAAAAGGAAGACCTTTCTCTCTGTCTCTCTCCCTCACTGTCCACTCTGCCTGTCAAAAAAAAAAAAAAAAAATCTTAGCATCTTTGTTGAAGCCAATTCACTGTGCATAAGAGGGCATAGCTGAGTTCAGCATTCTGTTGCACTGATCTGTGTCCAGTCTTCTACCATACTGTCTTGATTACTATAGTTTTATAGTAACTCTTATATATATCAGTATGATTTTTCCAATTTTGCCTCTGTTCCAAAATTGTTTAGCTATTTTGGCTTATTGACCCTTCCATATACATCTTAGAATCAGCTTATCTGTTTCTGTATTAAAGCCCACTGAGGTTTGTGTTGCCATTTGACATTATTCATTACTTGGCGCAACTCTCATTGTTTTTTCTTTAATTTTTCTTAGTAATGCCTTTTAATTTTCAGTATGTCTTGCCCATATTTTGTTAAGTTTACCTCAAGTATTTCACATTTTTGATGTTACTAGGAGTGTTTTTAAAATTTGGGTTTGCAATTTTGATAACTAATACATAGAGGTACAAATTTTGTGTATTGATCTTGTAGGAAAGAACCTTGACAAATTCATTTATTGTATTCCATTTTTTAAAAAGGTTTATTTATTTGAAAGGCTAATATACAGAGAGGGGAAGGAAGAAAAGAGAGGAAGGAGGGAGGTAGAGAGGGAGTAGGGGGAAAGAAGGGGAAGGAAGAAGTATGGGAGGAAGGAGGGGATATAATTTCTTTAAAAAAAATTTATTTATTTGAAAGGCAGAGTTACACAGAGAGAGGAGAGGCAAAGAGAGAGAGAGGTCTTCCATCCAATGGTTCACTCCCCAATTTGCCGCAATGACCGGAGCTGCATGGATCCGAAGCCAGGAGCCAGGAGCTTCTGGGTCTCCCACGTGGGTGCAGGAGTCCAAGGACTTGGCATCTTCCACTGCTTTCTCAGGCCACAGCAGAGAGCTAGACTGGAAGTGGAGGAGCCCAGACACAAAGCGGTGTCCATATGGGATGCCGGCGTTTCAGGCCAGGGCATTAACCAGCCGCGCCACAGTGCTGGCCCCAAAGGAGGGGATATCTTCTATCCACTGATTCACTCCTCAACAGCTGAGGCTGGACCAGGCCAAAGCCAGGAACCAGGAATTCCATCCTGTTTTTCCATATTGGTGGCAGGGGCTCAAGTACTTCTCAGGCACATTAGCAGAAGGCTGGAATAGAAGCAGAGTAGCCAGGACTCAAGCACTGATATGGGGTGCCAATGTGGCAGCTTAACTGGTTGTGCGACAATGCTGGCCCCAGTTGTATTAGTTTTTTTTGTTTGTTTCCTTAGAATGTTCTATGCACATTATCATGCCTTCATAAAGACGGTTTTCCTCTGCCTCTCCAAACTATATGCCTTTTATATCCTTTTGCTGTATCACATTTGTTAGAACTTCCAGTGTAATGTTAACTAGAAGCTGTGAGAATGAACATTTTTGCTTTCTTTGCAATTTCAGTCTTTCACCATTATGTATGATGGTTGCTGTAGGTTTTTTATACATATCTTTTTTTTTTTTTAGATTTATTTTATTTATTTGAAAGACAGAGTTACCGAGAGAGGTAAAGACAGAGAGAGAGGTCTTCCATCTGCTGGTTCACTTCCCAGATGGCTGCAGTG